CCAGGTTTGGGGGCGCTGTGTCTGTATCATCGATGCAATCCTCGGCGTATCGTCGTGGTCATCCTGACATTTCGCCTCCCGTCAGCTTTGATACAGAGTGCACCATCGTTCGCGAAAACCCGCGGCTCCGCCTTTTTCCTTTCTTTCTCGCAAAGATCTGCCGTGACGCTATCTCCATCTGGGTCTTGCGTGCTTTTCTTTCTGCGTCTGAAACGGAATACCCCAGCTTCCGATAGAAGAAGAAACACCGCATACTATACTATGTGAGGACATCTATCAAAACACCAGCGCACATGTTCGTCCCTATGGATTCCGTGACTCAGGTAGGTACGGGCATTTACGTGTGCGCCGTCCATCCGTGTCAGTCTGGTCTCTGCCCCAGCCGTAGGTCCCTTATTCGGCTCATCTCGCGGATGGCCGACCTCCTTCTTGGGCCTGGCCTGGCCTATTCAGCTGCCCGGATAGTCAGATACCGCGGGGGAAAAGGGCTTAACCCCCTCAACGGCGTCGTCGTCGGCCACGATCTAGATGCTCCAGACTAGGCTTATAGTATGTGCTTGTGAGCTCCCAGACCCAAGGGGGGCCCAGACCTTTGGGCCTTCATTCCTTCGACACCAGCACACGTCGGCCTTCGAGACCAGCCCCCGATCCATCCATTTGGCCGCGGGGGTGCCAGGAGCCTAGCGCAGAGTTACAGCCACATCGCCGACTTCAACCTTATTGCTATTCGCAGCACATCGTCAACTCGTCACGACCGAAGACGGTTGTACCATTCAAGTACACTTCCTGTTCCGGAAACCCCCGCATCTGCAGGCCGTTCCGGCTCAGACTGACCCTGGTGGTGTAGTATAGGTTGGTCTTTGCCGGTCCCTTCGATGCGGGGATTGAAACAGCACCGCATCAGCAGTCTCGTTATCGGCCTCAGCATCACCACTGCCCCCATATTCTCAGCATCAGCATCAGCATTCGGGCGTGTGTGGTGCTCAGTGCATCCAATATCCGGCTCACGCACCACAAACTAGTCAGCCTCTGCGACTATTGTCTCTCTTCCTTGTCAAGTCTATCTCCGCCGTTCTGGCCTGCTGAGCAAAAGGAATACGATATCTTCCCCTTTTGAGACACGGGAGTCACCGAAAGCGCGTCGCTCAGCTCGTCCAGCAGGCCGCGTTCCCGTCATCAGTGCTGCTGCACAGTTCTCTTTGGGCCTGAATTTGGCCTGAGCCGACCCGGCGTGTACCAACCAGTTGTGCTTGTGTGTCAGCTACTTCGAACTGGAAAGTGCAGTCGTAGGCTTTGGTTGGGTCGCCGAGTGCAGGGTTTGGGGGGGTCCTGGACGGGGGATCTTGGGCCCCGGTGCTGAACTCGCTGCTGTCACCATTACGAGCGACGTCAACCCAGCACACCGCCCCGCCGTCTTGTCCTAGATACCGTTTTCTGCTTTTTTTCCGTTTTCCCTCGCTCTTTTTCCCCGTCATCGCACCCCCCCTGCCGGGTTGCCCTACTCGGTCTCCACCGCACACCCACTTCCTTCCCACTCTGCACGGGCTGGGGTCCCCCTGCCACTTCCTCCTTCCCTTCCTACTCTTCGTCTCTTTTCCTGCCTTCCCTCCAACACAGGGCGACACACGCACACACACACACCCAAAGGTACCTTTCCGCCACGCGAGCAACCTGAAAATAATACGGGGAAAGAGTGTACCACCCCTCCACTCTCTCTTACCCCCTGTCCCCTCGCACCCTCGTACCCTCGCACCTGCGCACCTGCTGCCTTACACTTGCACTTGCACTTGCACTCGCTCCTGCCTCGAGAGCCCACAGTCCCATAATCCATAATAACCCGGCCCTCGCCCGCATCAGCTCATCGTGACGGCCTCTCTCGATTCTCTGTTTCTATTCTCTCCCGTCTTCCGGCTTCCAACCTCGCCCGTTTCGTAGTGCCCGTGTCTAGATCTCGTCCTCCAACCGCGCCTCGTCCATATTCAACTGTCGGCTACCATCGATCCCACGATCCGGCCTCTCCACGATCCAGCCAACACCGTCTAGTGCTGTCTCGACTCGCCCTGCCACCACCCCTTCTTCTCACTGCCAAACCCCCGAGAACAAAGAGAATCGAGCATCTCCAGCATTCCTCCGCCCTCCCGTCTGGATTCTTTGTGCGCTTCCGTCGGGCTTTCCGCCACACCTTCCCGTCATCCCGAACACAGAGTCCAGACTTCCCTGTCGGCCCCTACTCAACTCAAGGGTCCCTGTCTTAGAGGCTTAAATAACTACTACCGCGATCACCCCGGCTTTTCCAAAACACTATCAATCAACGATTCAATCTACGCGAGATCGAGCATTACGCGCCTTTCTACGCAGTACACAAACAAGCATAAAGGAGCCGCCCATTCCATCCCAACTCGCATCTCTACCCGCCTATCCAATCCACAACTAGCCGCCATCACCAACTCAACTCCACACAACAACATGTCACCAACACAAGATCAATACTACGTTATCCCCAACGTTAACGCCATGGACCCTAACGCGCGAGAGTTCGACCTGGCCTCCCAGGGTTGGATTCAAGCCACCATCATTGAAGACGATGACCTCATGTTCGGCGGCAAGTCCTTGAGCACTTGGTACGAGGAGGAAAGGAGACGTCTCAGCAACGGATCCTCAGACGAAGAGGAGCACCGCGGTCGCCAACGGGTAAGCTGCAATAACGTCACGATGCAACATTGCAACGCCTACTAACGCTACTCAGGTCCGCAAGCACCACTCCTCCCACAAGCACCACCACCACCAATCGAAGCAGCACTCTGCTAGCTCCGACAAGAAGCACTGAGCGCGCGCATCCATTCCGCGCCCTCTCCCTATCTTTCGGTATAGACCGCCACTACCGCGATACCCTTTGCGAGCGCTCGAATTGCATACCCCTTTCACGTCGACTTCACACCTCCAACCCATGGATCATAGAAACGACTTTCGCGACTCATTTTCCTAAACCTCTTCCAATACCCGTCTTCCGTGTGGCATTGGGTACACCGGCGTTTGCTTATTTCAGCGTTGCATGTTTCGGGCTGGATCACTAGAACGGCAATGTCCACAGAGGACAACGACCAGCATGGGGTACCACGGGAGCCGAGCCAGGAACACACGTTCCGCCGGCACCACCTTTCGTTTAATTGTTATTGCATTGATCGCAACGGGCCTGCGATAGCGTCACGATCCGCATCTAGACGGTTTAGGGAGCATCATCGCCAGAAGACTCTTGTACTTGCATGTCGAGAGCTGGCTTATCAGTTTTGTATGAGTGGATTATCACGTCTCACTCCGGGGTTGTGCAGCGGAGGCTTTTCACGTCTTGGGCCCTTTTTGCGGGACAGCGTGGCTACAGGTTAGCAGGATGATCGTTGCGAGGCAACGAACGCATGTGCAGTGGAGCTTCATTTCGAGCTGAGTAGCGGTGAGAAGCTGCGACCTCGGCAAGAAACATGGGGCCTGCAAGAACGAATACAAAGAAGTTAAAGTATTACCATTTGTGCCCTTGAGAGAAAATTATGTGATGCACCGCACCGCCAGAAACATACATCGACGTGCAATGCGTCTTGGTAGACGGCCTCCCGCGCCCACCACTCAATTGTTGAGGTACATGCAAGGAAATCCAACAGATCGGTTTCCGTTGAAGGTTCCCTTTGCATGTGTCCAGCCCCCCCCCCCCGAAAAGGCCGCCCTCCCGCCTAACCGTGAATGTAGCTAGGGCTGCAGCAGCACCTGGTTTTTTTTGGTTTTTTTCCCTTGGGAAAGTCTGGAGAGCAGCGTTGCATGCGCGCACATGCATTGCGCTAAGGGGCCCTCCCGACTCTTCTCGCCCGGGATGGAAAGTGTCCCTTGGGTCGGGTACGGCCGGCTGCCGGTGCCGGGGGAGGGGGAGGCCTGACTCGGAGTAGGGGTCGTCTTGACTCTTCCTCTACGTTTGGTGTGCTTTGCCCCCGGCATCGGCGAAAAAGTTTGAACTTGGGCCAGTGCCGCGTCGTGTGGGCAATGCCGAATGCCGCCGCGGTGCTCCGGAGGGAGGTGTCGGTGAAAGTCGGTGTGATGTGGCTCTCGCTGAAGGGGGATTAAATTGAGATTCGAAGATACCTCTCCGACACTTGCATGGTGGTTTGCAGCCGATAGGCAAATTCCAAGGTGGGAGTCTCGCAGCAGCTGAATACCCACCTATAGTGTTGACTACATCAGTCCATCGTCCCTCAAGCGCATCAGACTCATGACAGATGGGAATCCAGTGTGACGAGACTCATGTCACGGGTTTCAGTCCTCAATCATATTTTGATGTGTCGCTGAACCATCCCGCCATTCCACTTATGATGGGCTACGAATCAACGCTTGTCAAATTCCGCAATGCCTTGCCTCCATGGTGCCAACGATATGTATGAATGAGGGGTGAACAATGATCAGCAGTGTCCATGTTCATGTCCTCAAGGCTCTCGGAGGAAATGTTGACAGCCCAGCCGGGTCTGCCCTGCTTTGCCCAAATCCGGTGCTGACAAGAATTCGCAACCTTACCCAATTAGGCAATTGAAGGTTACACGATCCTTCACGCGCAGCCTATAGCCTTGAGCCATCTTGGCAGGGTAGCATAGCCGTAAGCTGGTCTATTTCCTTAAAGGGCTATTGCGAGGGTGGCAGCTCTGCAATCTCATCGTGTGTTCAAGCTCCGTGAGCCGTCATAGAGTCCATTCCAGGGCGACGGCTGAAGAACTTTTGCAAGGGCGCAGCAGTCGTGATGTCAGTCATAGCGAAGTGACAGCAGAGGAGATATTCTAGAAGAACGGCCTGCTCCTCGCAGGCGCGGGGGAGATTTGGCGGTATATAGGTCGCGTATATGGCCGTAGTTGGGTCTCTGTTCCTTACCTTGATCACTACTTGCATATTTCATCCCATCTCTCGACCACGACAAAGTAGATTTCCCTCACTTCACCAGCTCATTGCCAACATCTCTGTTATTCAGCCCAATGGCTCGACTCTCGAATCTCCTACGAGCCGGCCTTCTGGCCTATACAGTCCTCGCAGACGCCAGCCCAGGTAGTTCCAGCCAGATCAACTGGGGACCTTGTTCCGAGTTCAACAGCACTGAGCCCATCCAATGCGCAAACCTGACAGTCCCGCTCGACTACACCCAACCTGAGTTGAACAAGACGCTCCAGCTCCAGCTTCTTCGGATCCCCGCCCTCCGTCAGCCCTCAAGGGGCAGCATCTTGTTCAACTTTGGCGGACCGAGTGTTGCTGGGCGGCCGACCTTGGCTGCGTCAGGCGGCCTATTCCGAAAGTAATTTGAGCCAACTCCCTTGCAGTATTTTGCATTCATAGAGCTATACTTACAACTCTACTATAGCTCGACTAGCGAGTATCACGATCTCGTCACCTTCGACCCACGGTAAGCTGTCACTTGAACGCAAACTAGGCTGTCCATGATGGAGTTGTAAGGCTGATGATCGCACCCTGGAACCAGTGGCACTGGCAACACGCTACCCTTCTCATGCTTCGACGATGAACAGGAAAGGGTCTCCTACTTCCTCAAGAACCCCAAGGCATGGGGCTCTTTAATCATTCCCTACTTCTGGGCAAAGTCCTCGGACAACACGCCCGGCAGGTTGTGGGCCTCGGCCAAGCTCTTCGTTGACAAGTGTTTTGAGCGCAATGGGGAGATTGGCGGGCTTATCGGCAGTGCGTTTGTTGCCAGGGACATGATGCAGATTGTTGATGCTCTCGGCGAGGACGGTTTGTTGCGGTACTGGGGTACGAGAACCCCTCGTTTCCCTTCAACATTCTTTTGCTGAGGCCTGGTGCTGACTTCTTCTCGTAGGCGGTTCATACGGAACGCTTTTGGGACAAACGGCCGCAGCCATGTTTCCCGAGAGAATCGATAGGATGGTGCTCGATGGAAACCTCAACCCCCACGAATACTACCACGGCTAGTCAGTTCTGACTTCCTGCCCCATCAGTTAACCCTTTGGATTGATGATATGGATGGCTAAATCAGTGAACCTTCGATAGCGACGACGAGCAATGGACGGACTCGGACAAGGCCTTCAGCGCCGTGTTCCAATCCTGCGTCGCAAACCGATCCGACTGCCTCCTCGCTCAGCGCTATCAAAATCAGACAGCCGCCCAGCTCGAGGACACAATCTACACCCTCATTCACGACCTCAACGACCGCCCCATCCCCTTCAACGGCAATCTCATTGACTACGGCTTCGTCAAGACCGGCGTCATGACGGCCCTCTACTCCCCGGACCTCTGGGTCCTCCTCGACATCGGCTTCGACGCCCTCATCTCCCGAAACCTGACCCGCTTCACCGAAGTCTGGGACGCGCTGTCCAAGACGTACGGCTCCATTGGCTCCGCGGTCGAAGCGCAGATGGGTATCCGGTGCAGCGACAAGATTGTCCGCATGGAGACGTTGGACGAGTTCCTGCCCATCATGGAGCGACAGTTTGGGATCAGCAGGGTGTTCGGGGACGTGCAGACGGGGGCCGAGATGATTTGCGCGCAGTGGCGGTTTCCCGCGAAGGGGCAGTATACCGGCGACTTCCACGTCAAGACAAGGCATCCCGTCTTGTTCATCGGGAACACGGCCGATGCGTTTACGCCGCTTGCCTCGGCGCGTAACGCCAGTGCTGGGTTTGAGGGGAGCGTTGTCCTCCAGACGAACGGCTATGGCGTGAGCTCCTTACCTCTGTTTATGGGAATATGGTCAGTAGACTGACGAGAGACAGCATTCTTCCACTGGGACATCGACCTGTGCGAGCCTGGCAATTGAGGCATACTATCTCAACGGGACGTTGCCTGAGGCTGGGACCCTGTGCGAGCTGGACAAGCCTATTTTGCCTGGGTCGGTTTCTAGATAGTCAAAGTAGAGATGGACGTTGTCTTGATGGCAGACAGGTAGTAATGTTTTGACTGGGGGTAGTTGGCAATGCACCTTTCGACATCGGCAAGCGACTCAGACTCTTGTAAACTTAAGCTAAATCTCCCTCTTCCCAGATATCTCAAAACCCGCCAAATAGAATGAATATCTTTACCTAGACCGCTAGCACCATCTTCAGCCTTGGTAGTCTGTCGCCTTAACTGGTATGGGAGAAAAGGTCACTGATGCAAACCCTGTGTAGCGCCAGACGAAGGACACCGCGGAGCAGTTGCGATAAGAGCAATTCTAAGGCTTACATCTGCAGGTTTTCGAGCCACCTTCCCTCTTATTAGATGTAGGCCTTTTAAGAGACAGGGCTGCTAAGGGCTTCTGTCTCTATTATCTACATTCAATATTACCAGTTTATTTCTCATTTTGTAAATCTTTGGTAACTATGATCTATCTTCGGCTTCTACCTCATATGATCTGTGGAGCTCCTTCTTTGAGTATTGACTATGATCCTTCTCTCGTGGTGAATTACTCCTGAGAGTTATCTGGCCGAGTTGTGATACCGACATTGTTCTTAACGCTTGCCTCACTCACTTGAGAAACCTCCGTTAATTTGCCAGATCTTGGTTTATGGGCAACTTTGAGGACAGCAGGGAAAAGCCTAATCCAAACTTGTCGTGTGCTTGGTAAACAAGCTAGTACGACTCCTACGCAGAGTTCGATGTGAGACCATAAGGAGGTGTCGAGAGAGTCCGCTAACATAAGAGTCAGATGTGTCATTGATCAACACAAGGGAGTTGGCGAAAACAAACCAGAAACATTGTAAGACGTTGAAAATACCCACACCGCCTTGATCCGATATGCACTCACTGCCGTAAGACTGCTTATAATCAGTAACACGCTTCTAATGCCAAAACAAGAACACCTTGTTGCGCTTACAAGATTCCTAGGCTGAACATAAGCATTATGCCCGCCTTTTTCCTACGTTGCATGTGTAACCCGTAAAGTTGCGTCAAAGGTAACGCAAGCATCCACAGATCCAAAGCAACGTTGATAGCCCCGTGTGTGATGATAAACACATTCCTGTTTAAACACTTGCCCTCGATTTCTTTACTCCAGCCTAGCCAGGCAAGTTTCAAGGGTTGGCAGAGAGACAATTGGCCAGCAAGAAATGAGATCAAAAGAAGTATGTTGAACACTTGTGTGAACCACAAAACCTTTCGAAATCTCTGGTCAGGAAAAATCCGGAGGTATAGAAATATCATTGAGATTTTTATGAAAGCAAGGCTGACAAAGTATAGCACTCCGAAGATGAACACAATCTGATCCATGTTAGCGAGTGGAGAATCCTCAAGGATATGTATTGTACCAAAAGGAGGTCGGTGATTTGATCTGGAGTGAGAGTCCAAACGTCTCTCCCTGCGCCAGCTTTTCCGGCTACGAAGGAATGATTATTAGTCGTAATCTAGGTAAAAGGCAACGGGACGTACCGAAAACTGCTGCTGGCAGAAAGGCCGCAAGTACAAGCTGTGACATGGTTAAAGAAAAGTCTACCGAGGCGGTGGTGGATATAGGTCAACACATACGTATGCGATGATAATGGTTGTATCGTCCCAGCCCCAAGGCGACACCCTCAGCCACTTGTTCAACAATCTTCCTATCATGAAGAACGTTGGGATGCAAAAGAGCATCACTGGAAACCATTGATGGAAGGGATTCAGCTCAGTGACAGGTGCATGACAGGCTGTCAATGATTGGTTTTGGGCGACTGCAGTCCAGGTAAGCTTCTCAGTCTTTTCACAGAGAATGGAAGGATGCAATAATCACCAAGCGCTTCCTTGACTGTGCAACTTCGTAAGACACATGCCTGCACACTAGCTGCAAAAACAGTGTCGTGACACAAACAGTCTTGGTCCGTAACAGAGCAATTGGAGTAAATAATATCATGCTTAACGCAACTGTCCTACGTAAAATCAGTAGCCGCTGTATCAAAGTCGATGGTTCCAATGCACGCTTACCGCACAGCTTGGAACAATTTGATGGGGTAGATCTGCGCCAACGACCACACCAAACCCGTAAAAGCAGACGATCAGTTTAGTGAAGCGAACGGCAACCATGATAACGTGTGCGACTGGCGATTGCTTCAAACGACTTGAGTCTTAAGGCCGTCTTAGCATGCAACCCCTGATGGGGCAAGGCAAAAATTAAGTTTCCGCAAGTTCGCTCGCTTGATTAAGATGTCCGCGGTCTTGAGATAAGAGAGGATGAAGGTAAGGGTCACTCCTATCAGTGCAGTTTCTTAGCGAACACCAACAGACAACATATCTGAAATCCAGCTTAGCAGCACACAAATCTCTGCCGGGGATATATCTGATGAATGTGGCTTCCCAACAAACAGGGCAATCGTTAGTCGTACCGCATGCGGACTTGCGTGTGGCCAGGCAGTGGCTTTGTTCATGACATTCGACCTACTCAGGTTGAAAGTCTCATGTATGGAATGTGCTTTGAAAGTTCAAACCAATGGCCCTTGACCTTTGGCCAGACCATTCTGGAAACTCAAATGTGATGGAATCTTCTGACCATTTCAAAGCACGAATGGAATCGATGCGATTGGGGGGTTGCTCCAGAAGCCATGGCTACATCCTTAGATACACAGCTGTGCCTCACAATAATTCAGATCCATGATTTATCACAGCAGAAAGGTAAGTGAGGGATAACCGTCCTGTTGCTTGTTGATTTGGTTCGTTAGTCGGCCATCATTAGCACCTGTCATTTATTGTCACCCCAAATTCAACATCACGTCAGCATTCAAAAGAAGAAGAAGAACAATGAAAGAAAGAAGCAAAGGCGGATTGGGGCGAAATGAACTAAGCCAACATTCAGCATTTAGCCCTAACCGCTTTCAGCCCCAACAGGCTGCATGCAGGCTGAGGCTGCGATGGCACATGAATGAGCTGAACTTTTAGGCGGTGCTACGATCATCCAGGCTCGTTAGTGTTTATCACCCGATCACGATTCCACTGCAATTCCAGCGCTGCAACTCTTAAAAGGCGTTAAAATATAACTTTTAAGCCACTTACTATCTATTTGGGGACAGGTGTAGCTATCGGCGGCGGCACTGTAGGTGGTGAGTAGTACAATAAGACACTAAGTGAAGACAACACGGAATTGAGTTTGACTGAGTTAGCCCTTTGGCTATGACAGCAATGGCGAGGAGAGTGTGATCACTTTGGCAGATGGTGAGATAAAGTGGTGGCAGGATCCATCGCCCAGCCACCTCGAGCGGCCTGTTGTGTGATATTTTAGTTTCCACTACGCCATAACCCTTCGATCTTGGAACACGAAATCATAATTTGGAACAGAGTAAAGAGTAGGTCATTCACAAGCTTGATAGTATTGAAGGTGCGATGAGAATGTTTCTAGTAGGAAGGGAATCAGGGCATGGGCTCCCCAACCCAAGCTCGCTCGCTCGAGCACTCTTGGCTTAGGTCGACCAAATCTGGTTCGCCTTCAACCCAGACAGGCTCGGGCTCAAGGAGCGTCATTCCAGCTCTTCAGGTACAACTGGCAAGTCTGAATGTTGGTTTCAGTATGCTTATCAGCTCAAGATATCTTCGATTACTGGAGTACACAAGTAGCTCATCCTGGTGAAGCTGCTCCAGGATGAGCCGTCGTATTCTTGGGGACAAGTAAGCCGTATGATGTCGTGTTACTTTGCGGATACGAAGCTGGTTGCTTCTTGAGAAAGCCGATAAAATCACGAGCCAAGTTGGTGAACCGTTTGATCATGAGCAGCTGAAATCTGGCCGAGTCTACTTTGATTGGATTTTAGGAAGAGCATTCCCCTGAATACAAGACGATTTCGAAGTTCCAGTCAAGGTTGATTATGAGGGTATGAAAAAAAGAATTCGCAACGGCTTTCAGGACCATAAAACATCTCACAATCTTGAAAGGCCCAAGCGAAACTCTGTTAGCTATGGACAGGAGGGACTGCCATGTAGACTAGGCTTTCAGTGAAATGGGAACGTTGCAATGGCTTAGAAAGTATGCAGCATTTATCAACTAATAGACGATCAATTGATCGAACTCAACGACTTTACAATGCTGAGACACGTCCGATGTGACGCGCGTTAAGGTGTCGTATGTCAAATTTCCTTATTTTTCATGGTCACAGTTTGGACAATACTTGAGTGAAAGTTTGAACTAGCCCTGCTTGGACTGTAATGAATGGAGTATCAACACTCGTTGCTAGCGAGCCCTGACTTTCTCGGCCTCCATTAGATTCATCTATCACTATCGGCCATTCTCCAGCACCTGGATAACGCTGCCGCTCTACTCCTTGTCCTCAACTCCTTGTCCTGGTGTTTCATGTGCGTCTATCCATGCCAAGTCGACTAGTCTGAGTCAGGCCAAGAGTCTGTAGTGCTTTCAGAGGAGTTGGCGCAGCCCCTGCAATAACCCCTCTTCACTGAGGCAAGTCTCTGGGACTGAGTTCCCGAGCACCCACGACCTTCCCTCCTGGCCTGGCATGACCTTCTTCGACCTTTTCGGGTCTTGTATTGACCGTTACACTTGAGGCAACGTAAGGGGGTGTATGGCCGGGTACACATCTTCGCGAATATGCCTTGAAATAATGATGGTCAAGGTGATGTTCAATGTTATCTCTGGTGGATGTGTTGTGAGAGTTTCGTCAGCTTGGTTTGATTGTTGGCTTTGTGACCTAATGTTTTCTGTGAGTATTTGAGCTGGGGGAGATATGTGTTGGAAGAGAAGTCCTTTGGGCTTTTTATTCATTACTGTGGTGATGGTGTGAATAGTGAACTAGTCCTGGGAGGTTGTGGTCTGTGGAA